ATATATTCTTATTAATCGGATTATATTCGATCATCTACTTCCCCAACTACCTTGCTCTGAGAAAACAAGAGGCTCTTCTAGCCAGTAGAAAAAACGACCTGAATGTCAAGACTATCAAGGTTTATGATCAACAACAATTCAACACAGTCTCAAAGGTGACAGACGCGTCAACCGAGGGCCTTGTCAGAAAAGGAATCATGGGCCTACCATACATCAAACAACATCTGAAAATGAAAGGACGTCTGATCGGTGTTTTACAACCAGTAGATGCTGAATTTCTAGATAACAAGACTCATAAACAATAGTATCAGATGGAATCTATGGTCAAGATAAAGCCTAAGCTTCAACATGAAGTTGTCTTACTATTAAAACTATGACGTCATCGCAGCCATCTTGGAATAGTGGCGTCAGTCGATGCTTTCTCCCATGCAAGTCTCGCTATTATCTACCATTTGTTTGTTAGTGTGAACTGCAAGGGAAGACAACTCTGCTTGGGAGATCGCATTCGATGTGGAAGTTTCTTGTCGATCGTACTAGAATTGGCAAAGCCTTAGTTGGTCATTTCGGGACTAACACATGGTTCAATTTTATTTCAATAATTCGTTTGCGCGTAGGTTTTTTTTATCAGTGGTAGGAATCCGGAGGGCCCGGAGGAAACCCATTTGGGGAATCTAAACTGCGCCAGTTGACTCAATGCGCTAACCATTCAGCCATCGACTTTAGTTTATAAGAGTATCGCCCCAAGCAGAAGAATGATATATTAATAAGTGTATCAAACCAATGCCTGGTTACCGCTATTTTAATTTCACGAACGAACAGTTCCGGTATTTATGTAGTAAAAAAATAACAATAATGATGTTTAGAAATGAAATGACATGGGGTGGACCTCGGTTTTTCGTCCCATCCCAACGACTAGACAGCTTTCTTTGTTAGGCCCTCCGTCCTGCATCACTTACAAGGGGAAACCACGCTGGAAAATCCCGGCAAACGTTCTCTGCCAACACCGGGATCGAACCCCGGACCACCTGGTTAAGGCGTCACGCCGGAAAATTTGGATGATAATTTTAAAGGAGCTAAGTCTCTAACTCAATATTTTCCATAATATTCGAAATTAAAAGCTCGAATTAAAATTCAATATTGATCAATTTCAATCAATATTGATGTTGATATCTTGCTGTTTCGACTGCCGTTTTGTAATAAACAAATAAAAACATAGCCTACAACACAATGTGGAAGTAATTAGTAAAGGCTGATTCACAAACGACAAAATAATAATTTAAAAAAAAACCGTGTAGAATGCACTAAGCAGGCGAAAACGACTGCCGTTCAGTTTGAACTGTTCACGTATTTTACCGAACATAATTAATTAGAAATTACAATATTGTTTTTAAAAAATTGAATATAAATCCCTTTGCAAACATAATACATTGATATATGCTTTTAGAACCATTTTGGTCTATTACAAGGCTCTAAAAAATAGAGCATATTCATTTTTCGAGGGGTTTAGCAAGAATATTTAAACGTGATGCAGGTCTACAGTTTCAACAACCTGTCGGGTCGCCTTTGTGATATCACATAATGTCTATATCATTATCTCCGTGCTTTGAGTGCCCATGCTGTCCCACATCTGACGATAAAGGATAAAGCACACGGCCGAGAAATGAAATGAAATGAAATGAAATGGAGTTTAACGTCCTACTGTTCTGCTCCTAACCTGGGCTAATGAAGACGGGCATACGCCATACAGTGTGCTATGAGGGAAATTTTGCCCGGACAGCGGCACTACGGCCTACTCTTATATCGAATTCCAACTGCCAAGGGATCTTTTACGTGCACGCCAATGTGTACACGGGACCTCGGTTTTTCGTCCCATCCGAACGACTAGACAGCTTTCCTTGTCAGCCCCTCCGTCCTGCATCACTGACAAGGGAGAACCACGCCGGAAAATCTGGATGAACTTTCTCGGCCAATGCAGGGATCGAACACCCGATCTCCAGGCTAGCGAGCTAACGTCTTACCCACTTAGCCACGTGATCCCCCACACGGCCGAGAAACTTTTCTCATAAAAAGTACTGATTTACAAAACATTTTATGTAGCTGAGCAGGGGTGGGGTGGGGGTGGGGAACTCGTTCATAAATGAATTAACAAGTTGCCAACAATTTTAATTACCAACATCTTTCTTATTATTAATTTTGTCATCAATTTTTTTCAAACATATTCGCGTTTACATTATCTGATAAAATGACATTAATTTATTAATGAAATGAAATGAAATGGGGTTTAACGTCCTAATGTTCTGCTCCTAACCGGGTTAATGAGAGAGAGAGAGAGAGAGAGAGAGAGAGAGAGAGAGAGAGAGCGAGAAATGGGTTTAACGTCCACTCGACACAAACTAGGTCATTTCGGGACTAACATATGGTTCAATTTTATGAAATAATTCGCTTACGCGTAGGGGTCTTTAGCAGTGGGGGGGAATCGGAGGGCCCGGAGAAAACCCACGAGGTTGGAGGGCTAATGAAAACGGGCATACGCCATACAGTGTGTTTTATGAGGGACATTTTGCCCGGACAACAGCGTTATGGCTTACTCTTATAACGAATTCCAACTGTCAAGGGACATTTTACGTGCGCCAATGTATATAAAGGACCCCGGGTTTTCGTCCCATCCGAACGACTATACGTTGTCCCTTGTCAGGTCCTCTGCCCTACACCACTAACAAGGGGGAACCACGCCGGAAAATCCTGAGAAACTTTCTGGTCAACACCAGGATCGAATACGGGGCCTCCAGGTTAGCGAGCTAACGTCTTACTCAGTGAGCCACCGCGGCTTCGATCCACGAAGAAACGCCAATGATAACCCATGACTTATTGCTACAAAATAACGAATTTAGAATGAAGGTTGACTACTTTACCATTTTCAACAATTTGCCGACCAGATGTTACCATTCGATATCTTCTTAAAGGACGACAGACAAAGACAGGACCATAGAAATATAGAAATATTTATGTATTTTTATGATCAGGACGATGTCAGTTATTGTCAACCAATCTTGTTTTAAAGGCCAGCTGTCGCCAGTAGATGTGGAAATAAATGTCTGTGTGATTCCACCTTGTCGGGATGTTCCAAGCCTGGCTTCACCATGTCAGTGGTGCAGAACAGAGGGCCCTGGCAAGGGACAACATATAGTCGGATGGGCAGCAAAACCGAGATCTTGTGTATACATAGACGTGTACGTCAAATATCCCTTAACAGTTGGAATTCGATAAAAGTTAGGCAGTAGCGCCGCTGTCCAGGCAAATTTTCCCTCCCTGCATAGCATATGCATAGCGTATGCTCGTCTTTCTTAGCAGAAGAACAGGGATCGGCCACGCGACATCCAGGCCAGCGAGCCAGTGTCTTACTCACTTAGCCCTCGTGGTTACCCCAACTAAGTAGGATATAATATTACTTCTATACTGAATTACACCATTTAATAATTGTGTCTTCAATTGGACTATTCCTGTTAATAGCTGGCGGTATTTCGTTTGGCACCAGATTTATTTTATTTATATATCACATATTGTACAATAATAATAAAAAAAATACAATTTAAAAAAAATATATAAGTGTACAATGTCCGGCTATTAAGACAAGACAAGCATGATAAATTATTTAATTTCGAAGATAAATGAATAAAAATTCAGAACGTACGAACAAGAACATTACACTATTACATGTCCTATAATATACTAGTAATCACGATATACAAGTTAAACATTTGTCCTATAATATACTAGTAATCACGATATACAAGTTAAACATTTGTCCTATAATATACTAGTAATCACGATATACAAGTTAAACATTTGTCCTATAATATACTAGTAATCACGATATACAAGTTAAACATTTGTCCTATAATATACTAGTAATCACGATATACAAGTTAAACATTTGTCCTATAATATACTAGTAATCACGATATACAAGTTAAACATTTGTCCTATAATATACTAGTAATCACGATATACAAGTTAAACATTTGTCCTATAATATACTAGTAATCACGATATACAAGTTAAACATTTGTCCTATAATATACCAGTAATCACGATATACAAGTTAAACATTTGTCCTATGATATACCAGTAATCACGATATACAAGTTAAACATTTGTCCTATAATATACTAGTAATCACGATATACAAGTTAAACATTTGTCCTATAATATACTAGTAATCACGATATACAAGTTAAACATTTGTCCTATAATATACTAGTAATCACGATATACAAGTTAAACATTTGTCCTATAATATACTAGTAATCACGATATACAAGTTAAACATTTGTCCTATTATATACTAGTAATCACGATATACAAGTTAAACATTTGTCCTATAATATACTAGTAATCACGATATACAAGTTAAACATTTGTCCTATAATATACTAGTAATCACGATATACAAGTTAAACATTTGTCCTATAATATACTAGTAATACATGTAAATTATTAAATGACTTATAAAATAATAGTTATCAAAATGGTATCATATGTTAAAATATTTTCTATGATAAAACATAGCGCTACCTTCGTGTGTAGACTATGGTTGAAATTACAGTCTGAACTATCCCGACAGTGCTCTATCGCATGGTATTGCTGGTCACAACCACAAGTTGAACTAAATATCATTCGCATGCAGAAGGTTCGACTATAGTACGAACATCCGTGCAACCGAAGGTCGCCCAGGGAACATAATTGGTGAGTGGTTTTATGGTAGCTGCGGCATTCCATAACTTTAGTCTCTAATCAAATTCTCATCGGCTATATTTGACGTGTGGCAAACTATAGATTTCTGTTTAACCATCGGATTTACAGCCCTCTGACAACCAGTAACTTTATTTGTTCACTCAACTGTCGTTTTTTAAAAAGCTGCATTGACGTATGTCATTTGGGGTATTATTTTAGTTGTCAAGTCTGCAGTTTTAAATGAAACTTGAATGATGTGTTATTCTCATTTCTCAATATATAAAACAAGGTTTTCTACGTAATGTGTTTCAATTATTGTCGCGGTTTTATTGAAATAACCACCAGTGATGTTCATAGTTGTCCTCATCTCGGTAAGTAGCGCATATTGTTAATATTCTTATTATCAAAGTAGGGGGTGAGTTGGAGGTGGGGTGGGGTGGGGTGGTAGCCTGAATGGCCTAACGGGCGCACTTTTCAGCGGATAATTTCATTCGACACCCGAACTTGCCTCGAGAAGTTTTGCACAGTTTCGCTTTCCTACTTGGGCCCAATGGTATTCCGATATTATTTAAAGTAGCTAAGTCTCTTAACTCAATATCATCCAAAGTCTTCGACATTGAAAACACACATTATTTGTCAATTTAAATCAGCATTGGTGTTGTTATCGTATCGTGAAAAGATGAGCTTCTGATATTTAATATTTAAGAAAAAATAAACAAATTACCTTATTGGTACAAGAATCGTGTACCCTAATGCGTTTCAGCGCCATTTGTAATAAGGGACTCGAAGAACGAGGCTAGACATATTCCACAAGTCATGTCAAACGGTGAGGCCATATTCTTATCTGGAGAGCATGCGCAATAAATAATATCAGTGTAGACTGGAATAACCAGACGCTAGAGATTGCCATTCGATTGACACTTCTGGCGTATTTCGCCGAACATAACTGATTTGAAATTAGAGTAAAAACGAATACGATTGAATGTAAATCAGTTTCTATACATTCATATGCGTTGCGACCCATTTGTGACAATTTATATGTCCCAAATATTAGCGATTTAGCTACTTTAAAATAGATTTTTAGAGCGAAACTTGTTACGATTTGGAATAGATTTCTTCAACTGTGGTCTTCTTTAGCACGAAGGTTAATCCAATTTCGATATTCATTAGATACGAATTGGATATATTAACATGTTTATTACTTATCACAGGTAACTTTTAACGTAAACAATATAGATATATTTTCCATCATATATCAACCGAAAAATATGGTTTTTTTTTACATTTAAATTGTTTAGTTTGTAAATATCATGTGAAAATATATTTTAATATATTCTGGACTTTACGTATTGTTCTAATTGTGGTTTTATATACCAGTAACACTACGAAAGTCCAGAAGGCTCATTCCAAATTCCGCATTTGGAATTTGGAATTTGGAATCTAGTAATTTGGAACGGGTGTTTATCCGGCCCAGGCATCAGATAGGTAAACTAGCACTAATTAGTTGTGTAGAATTACAATTTATTTAAATTCTAATTTGTTTAATTGGGTGGGGGTGGGGGGGGGTGCTGCCAATTTGCTATTTTATTGGTAAGACATGAATTTGGAATTTGGAATGAGCCTTCTGGGCTTTCTTAGTAACACACTTACAAGTCTGAAGCTATATACCGATCTCGAGGAATCATCAGCTGTGGATATACAGCTATGTCTGCTGATTTGTTCCCCGGGCAGCTTTTTTACAGGCTGGTCCTAGCGTTGGGGTTTAACGTCCACTCGACACAAACTAGGTCATTTCGGGACTAACATATGATTCAATTTTATTTCAATAATTCGCCTGCGCGTAGGGGTCTTTAGCAGTGAGTGGAAACCGGAAGACGCGGAGAAAACCCACGAGGTTGGACAGGCGACCCTTCGCCTTGTCACGTTTAACCGTGGAATCGAAACCACGCCAGGTGACTGAATGACAGACTTTATGATACAGCGCGCACACGCTAACCATTCAGCCATCCACCTCATTGGTCATTTGCACAATTTTTACCTGAATATGGAATCGAAGGGGCGAATGATGGGTGGCATTTTTTCATCTGACGTTAGTAACCGAATTTATTTGCAGGGACCTAATTTACTCAAATCGAGTTGTCCAGTGTAGACAGACCTCCAAACCACATGTCTTAAACATACATTATGCAAGAGCTAAATCTGCCTATTGCCGGTCTTTCTTTGGGCCTGAAATGTGATATAAACTATTAATTAGACATTTATTAAAATTAAAAGACCTAATCAACTCTCGATGCCATCTTATGTGTCGGATTTTCACTGGATTTGAATCCTATTTGCTGCTCAACGCTCATCGATGATTTAACCCAAACGTGGATAATCGAGACTATGTATTTTATATCGTACCGACTTTAGTAATGATGATCGAGACTATGCCTAAACCTGAAACTCTAATATCTCGGTTCAGAGTGGAATAGTTTGACTGAAATTCTTATCATATTCCCTTTAAATTGTCTGGTTTGTAACTATTGCAGTGAGAACTGCCAGCTCTTTATCTGATCATCCATAATGCCCCTTTATGGAACTGGCATTATTCTAGCAAAAATCTATGCCCAGTTAAAATGAAATGGTGTTTAACATTCTGCTGTTCTACTCCGAACTGGGCTAATGAAGACGGGCATACGCCATACAGTGTGCTATGAGGGAAACTTTGCCCGGACAGCGGCACTACGGCCTACTCTTATATCGAATTCCAACTGTCAAGGTACCTTTTACGTGCATGCCAATGTGAACACGGGACCTCTGTTTTTAGTCCCATCCGAACGACTAGACGGCTGTTCTTGTCAGGCCCTCCGTCCTGCATCACTGCGGGTGAGAAGCTCAATAGACTGGGTAACCTTCATCGTGTTACACCACACCTGCCTTAATAGGCTAGCGGCTTAAATGACGATTTACCCCATCCAGAGATATCCACAAAACATTGTGGATAATTTCTGATAGTCGCATCACTAGAATACAAAACTGGTTCTTGGGTAAATTTTCAACATGGCCCAATACATCGTTTTTGTACTTTTACTAATGGTCAGGGTGTCTTTAACGCTAAAAGATTTGATAGAGATAGCATTGTGGTTCTTGTTCTTTGATGCTGAAAGAATAATGGATGACCAGTGAATATATTTGGTCAAAACTTCTAGGTATCTTGCACCATTTTGGTCTAATTTCTTACCTATCTGCTTTCATCATCATCATCATCATCATCATTTTTATCCTTTTTATCAATAGGCCCTGTTAGCTGGGTTAGCCTCGTCTACACCATGTACGTCATCAACTGAGTGTCCTACTGGGTCAAGTTGTCGAGATGAGAATGGAGAAATATTTTATATACCAGAAAACCAGTTCGGTAAGATATTTACACCTTCACTATCCGGTTGGCCAACTGCTATGCTAAACTGGTCTACCAGACCCAGACTACATCGTTTCTCTGATATCATAGGTACTATGTTGATCTGGTAAACATGGGTGCTAGCATGTTCCTGAAGCAAGGACGACGAAAACATCTGGACGTTGCCAGTTGCTAGATTACCGTGTGTGTGTGAGTTAGTTGTATTTTACGTCCGCTTCCACCGAGGTGATATCGCAGACAAGCTAGATTACTTTACAATTGCCGAACTTATAGCTACGTTATCTGCAGACAGGTGACCAGTAGCGTCCAATCATAGGTTGTGGCATAGCGACCTCTTTCCACGGAAACCTTGACATTGAACGTTGCATCTCGATTATCACAGGTAGACATTTTAACTAGAAAGTGCAAGACTTAGTATTCACGATGATCGAGGAATCTGATAGGCTCCCAAGCTGGGTGAATACCCAATCGAAATTAGTGCCGGAATATGCAGGGTATTACGTGAAAGCTTTGATAAAATGTTCGGAATCAAAGCAAGATCAAAGGATTTACCCTCAGGATATATGGATACTCTGTTATTAGTCATCCAGAAGCACACCGAACCCTAACCCAAGTTGTCAATCCATTCTTATCTGAAATATGTAAATCGACCCTGGGGGTCAATTCTCCCTAGTCTACAATTAGTTTACATGATCCAGACTACATAGTTACTAATATCATAACTGCATTAATCTCAGTGAAGTAATTTTAGTCATACCCCCACCCCAACCGTTGCCATTTTGCAATTAATTCAACGAGGTAGATATTATACAATGCAGTACTAAATTAAGACGGCCGGAATGCTTATTCGCGAAATGTTAATCCAGGTTAGTCATGCGATCCCACTCCTTGTCACGTACAAGTTTATGAATTGTGATAGACACCACACCAATTAGTTCATTGACAGACCTTATGATTTAAAGCACCCCCCGTCAGTCAATAATTTAAGCATATCCTGCCTTGTGCATAACACCCACAAAAACTTGCATCAGCGGGTCACCATTGTCCATTACCGATGTTCTATTGCCTTCCGTACAACTTTTTAAATGCAGATTTGGTTGATGATATATTACAGGACCTATATATGAGGTACCAGAAGGAGTTAATGGTACTTGTGGTGAAGGAGCTGGAGCCGGTGAAATCTGTATGAACACCTCAGAATGTCCTACAGGTAGTTTAAGAAGACCGTGTGCTGTTTTATTTTGACATTTTAAAACAATCAATCTGATTGAATACACATCTATATTTCGTTTCGTTTTTTATACTTCCAATGGCCTCTACTACATGAAGATCTGATAAGTTGTACTATAAGGTCGCGTCAGGGGTCGTACGAGCAGCTTTTGACCCTATGACGTCAGACATTGAGTAATGATACGGTCGTGCAACTACTGCCTTACAATCGACGCATATCCCATCAATAAGAATGACATTGGACAACGCCTCGGCAATATCAAATTTACGTAACTTTTGGACTAATATGCCGTACCTTTTATTTAGTGGTAAAATTTTCCAACCAGATTGGATCGAAATTATGACTTTGTTTTGAAAGCAGACAAGGTATCTTTTGTCGTGGCTGAGGAAAATAGTATCTTTTCACTGGCTTGAATAGACAGCCTAATCCATGGCAATAAGTGCCGCATTGCAGTTGTGGAAATCATGATTTTGGCTGCGACGTTCTTTTGGAGGGATCTCGACGGCCTGGTAAGGACAATGCCTATTCAGATGGGACGCCCCGTGTACGCGTTGGCGTGAACGTGAAAGAGTCGTTGAAAGTGGGACATCAATTTCTGTCTGGGCACTATTCCCTCTTAAAATACAGATGTGACGTCATCCTTTGATGTTGGCGTACCATTATTTCAAATAATGGTACGGACAATGCGCTAAGCTTATATTATTTATACTAGTTGAATTATTGGACCGGCATGACGTATTTCATTGAAATACACGTGCTGGATAGTGTCTGTATTTTAAGTTGTTTAATGGTCTCGTGTAAGACATTGCGTAAAATATAGATATAGCCCGCGTGCTATTGCACTCGTACAATATTAATATATTACCCATGTCTCGCACTCGATCATTAAACTACACATAGCACACAATATGGAGTATACCCGTCCTCATTAACCCGGTTAAACTCCATTTCATTTTATAAGCAATAATGCATTTAATTTTTTTAAACAGGTTATGAATGTTATCGGGAAATGTCGGGTGCATGCTGTCCACCAAGTTATTGTATAACAATCGAGGAGGCTCAGGAGAAAAAAGATAAATGGAGTAATTGTTTCCCACCTACCTGTTATCCCCCGCCATAATAAAAGATAAAAATAAATTATATATTCAGTTATATGTTCATAGAATTCTGTTATCGTCTAAAGAAGGTACATGTGGCACACTGGGTAACTGATTAAAACACAGATCCTATTTCGTTTCGATTTTTATAGTTCAAAATTTCGTTTTACTTGTCTCTACGTACTAAACTAGGATGTGAAAGAATTGTTATATAATCCGCGTTCTGGTTGATGTGAGAGATTAGCCAATTAAATGGCCTGCTGCAGCGAGTTCTTGGTGTGCGATGCATGGAACTGTGGGTATTCCACCAGAAACATCAACGCTGATTGGTTAATAGAATGTATGATGCCATAGGGTCAAAAGCCGGTCGTATGATCCCTGACGCGACCTCCCACTACAACCGGCCATACATTCATGCAGTAGAGGAGAGAGAAAGAGAGAGAGAGTGTAAAATAGGGTTTAAAGTCCACTCGACACAAACTAGGTCATTTCGGGACAAACATATGGTTTAATTTTATTTCAATAATTCGCTTGCGCATAGGGGTCTTTAGCAGTGGGAGGAAACTGGAGGACCCGGAGAAAACCCACGAGGTTGGACAGGCGACCCTGCTCCTTGTCACGTACAACCGGGGATTCGAAACCACGCCAGTCGACTCAATGACAGACTTTATGATACAGCGCGCGCACACGCTAACCATTCAGCCATCCAACCCCCCATGCAGTTGAGGCCATCGAAGGTATAAAAAAAAGGAAAAAAAAAAAGAAACGAAACACAGATCTGTATTTTAATCAAATTGAGGTGGCTCAGAGATCGAATTATCTAAAGAAGGTTCAGGTGGTTTGGATGTTTCCGGAGTCCAAAATAGCCGCTTTATATAAATGCGAATTTTTAAGAATGCTAACCCAATTCAACATTTACCCCCCTTAAAAGGGTTAGGGTTCGGGTTAGTATTCCCCAAAATACTCATTTTTATATAAAGCGGCTATTTTAGACTCCGGAAATACCCAAATCTCCCCAACCGGTCTACAATTAGCATCTCCCAAAGAAGGCACAGGTTGCTCGGTGGGTAAGCTCACTAACCTATAGAGGTCGAGCGTTCGATCCCTGTATTGAATGAGCAACTCCACATCACAGTACCCCATTGTTAGGAGGGGATAACCAGGCCAAGCGTCTATTTGTCCAGGGGGTATGAAAAAAACAAAATCATGTTGGCTTACGCTTTAAAGAAAGAACCCTTGCCAGTTGGAATTCGGTGAAGTCAAAATTTCACACATGTTTAAGCCTCTTGCTTAAAGTGTAATGATGAATTAGGTTAAGTCTTGATTTGCGTCCCCGAAACACCTGTCTGAACTTATGCATTTGTCAGACCGGGTGGCGTCCTTACTGCGCTGCTGCGACCGTACGGCGACCAAAAAATGCACAAGGTCACCGGCAAACGTGAACACACGCGCGAAAATGTCCCAAAAAATTACAAAACTTGAAAAAAGTCGTATTCTCATAGCTTTCCAATTCAAATCGCAGAACCTTGGCGTTTGTTTTGAACATGCTCAAAACAAACGCCGTGACTCGGCGATCATTGGCTGTCGTTTCCACCACGCTTATGGCGATCTTAACGCGCTCTAAGACCATTTTCCGTCGCCGTACGTAGCAGCGAAGTAAGGACGCCACCCCAGTCTGACGGAGGTATAATGAAATAACGGTCTGCTGGGTTATCGCCTTTTGTTTTGACATTAATCCGACCCTTGATTTAACTTCCTACTCTTCTGCACCACCCGGAAAATGCAATAATAAAATAAAACCAAGTACGAACAATCGAAACCATTAGACAGAATTCGAAGTCCTAAAAAAACGGTATAGGCAAAATAGTGGATCATTTGTGTACGTACAGGACGAACGTACAACCTACTTTTCGTCGATTTCAACTCTCAATGAGGCGCCTCTTCCCTGACAAAGGGAAACCAACGTGGTCGGGTTATTGTGCTCTTTTCTTGATACTTTGGTTACCAGTGAAACGAAATTAAGTTCCCGCAGTATAGAGAAAAATTCATAGCAAAAGTCTTGTTCGCAAAGTTTTCCCAACGGACAGAGTTTGGGCTCGCTCAAATGGGTGGCTCAGTAAGTAAAACGCTGGCTACCTTACCATAAGATCTCGTGTTCGCTTGGTTTCCCTTGTCAGTGGAGCAGTACGGAGGGCCTCATTTCATTTTGATTTGACGTCGAAACTGGATGACAGTCGTTGGGCTTATTGTCACGGGAGATAACTCCAATAAAAGTAACCTTAATTGGGTTCAGACCACTCAAACTCGTTGTCACTGTTACCCTTATCTCCATGAAATTTGTTGACTGTGTGGTCTATAATCGCAGAAGATTGTTTTTCGTTTAATCTCCCCTAACCGTTATGTTTTGGGGAATATTGCTAAGTTTGGGGTGAAAGGCCAGTCGAGTTAGGTTTATATGGAAGACCAAATAGCTCTTTATTCAGTGTTCTTAGTTCTTAATTCATAGTCCTTAATTCTTATTTCTTCATTTGTTGTCGTATTTCGACATTTGTACACTAAAATTAACATATGACAAATGTCTGATTTGTAAAACAAATATTGATTTTAAGATACAAATGTTAATTTTAGTGTACAAATACGACAACAAATGAAGAAATAAGAACTAAGGGTGATGAATTAAGAACTAAGGGCGATGAATTAAGAACTAAGAACACTGAATAAAGAGCTATTTTGTCTTACATAGGTTTATGTCTGTGATATGCAGGCCTAAGTTTCCATGTTTTGCTTCGCATGTTGTAGAAAACCTCCTCGAGTTCACTTGCAAAACTTTAAGTCGATGATTGGAATTTGCATTTTCAGACAACATCCATTTTTTGTTTTACTAAAATACACTGATTAAGATATCAAAGGTGAAAAAGTTCCTAGCTTGGATTCAACATGATGAACCCCATCAAAAACTTTTTGCCGGGCCACGGTCCCGTGTTCGACCCCTGCGTTGGCCAATATATACTCTTCAAAAAAGGTAGGGGATATTGAAATGCAAATACCTATGCAGGCTGTGATATGATAAATAGTCATGGACACTTGACATGCTTTGAGAGTATGTTCACAGATGAAGAACTTATCGCCCCAACAGAACCACTGAGCTGCACATGCGACACGTAATAGCGCCATACACGTGGGAGGGGTTCATTGTCAAATCTGACACTCCAAGGAAGGGTTGATGAAAACTCCCGCGTGCTGATTGATCTATCCATGTTTGCTCTCCTATCGGTTCTTCCATAAGATTTACTGTTTAGCGTAACTTTGCTTTAGTGTGTTACGTTTAATTTGATCGGGAGACGTGTTCGTCGACGTCAACGTCAACGGACAACACTACAAGAATTGGCCGTGGCACTGCAAGAGGAGTGGGTCAGAGTGTCCCAAATCGTGATGGGACGATTGATTAGGCGCATGCCACGACGTATTACTGAATGTCTGAGGATTGATGGAGCAATTACTCATTATTAAGACAAAAATCAAAAACATCCATTTTCACTTTTGACAGTGTATCGCTTTGCGAGTCAAAAGCCGCCCATATGAACTGTTTATGTTCTTGCGTAGGCAATTGGCCTGTTATTAACATTCATTGGTTACCTCTAATAAAAACAGCCGTGCATTTCCGCAGTTTTGTATTGTTTCTGAATATCCCCTACTTTTTTTTGAAGAGCTAGTTCATCGAGATTTTCCGGCGTGGTTCCACCTTGTCAAAGATCGGGGACGGAGGACCTGTCGAGGGACAACATATAGTCGTTCGGATGGTCCTGTTTACACATTGGTGTGCATGTAAAAGAACCCTTGACAGTTGGAATTCGATATTAGAGTAGGTCGTAATGTCGTTATGCCCGTCTTCATTAGACCGATGGTAGCAGAACAGTAGGACGTTAAACCCCATTTCATTTCATTTCAAAAGATGTTAGCGATGATTATACGTGGCGGTTGCTTATTTCGACAATATCCGGTTTATGTATGGTTTAATGGTCGAGAGCGAGACATTAAGTAATATATTGATACTGCACGAGGCGTTCGCCGAGTGTTGTTTCAAAATATTACGCAATGTCTTTAGCTCGAGACAAATTAAACAACTTAGAATACAGACACTATTCCGCAAGTGCTTTTCAATGAAATCTCGTATAGATAAGTTGCCCGTACATTATTGGAAATAATGGTACGCCAACATTCAAAGATGACATCACATCTGTAATTTATACGAGTACGGGCCCGTATCTACAGGGGGCGCGTGAAATGCTCCCCCCCCCCCCCGCTCAGAAATTGCTAACAATCATTAAAGTATACACAGTTCCTTATATTAACCTAAACAATCTACGCTTCCCTAAGCAGGAGGAGGTATAATTCAGGCGACTATGCGCATATTAATCCCACGGTATCTCATTACTTTATAAACCATTTTTTTTGTACTAATCTAAAATAGTTTTAAATAAATTTAAAAAATTAATTTTTTTTTGTTTGAATACTTATTTTAAAATGCTTATTAGACGCCTAGGTAACTACATAGCATGATGATTACAACAGTCTGTTAGAATGACCTTTCCGAAAATTTCCTCAAAATGTAATGCCCCCCCCCCCCCCGCTTAATGGTGTCTTAATACGGGCCCGTACGAGTATAACCTGCAGCGGATGTTCAATGTTGACAAATTTTCAATTTATATTTGCAAATTCTGAATGGAATTCAACCATTTTGGATTGATATTCCCTTTTGAGATTCAAGAATCCCAATATTGAATTAACAAGAAACGTTCGGAGACTTTAGGACAGGAATATTTAATAAACACAAAATATAAACAGCTATTTATTTTAAATATATTTTAATAATAAGGTTAAAAATACATTAATTAAGATTAAAGCTATTAATTTTTATCAATTGAGCTCATATTATACATTGATTATTTTATAATACTCCTACAAATGTTTCGTTTCGTTTTTTTTTTTATACTTTCGGTGGCCCCCCCCCCCTCTCCCCCGCTAGCCCGGTGTAGTGGCGGGGGGGGGGGTACAAGCGACTTTTGACCCTATGACGTCAGTCATTCAATTAACTAAACAGTGTCGGTGGTCCAAGGAGGTCTTCGGAATTAAAAACGATTTCCTTGTTTGTTTTCTATCACCGCGAATATCTACCCACAATTCCCCACGCAACACGATAAGAACTTGACTCAACAACCCCTTATGGTTCGTCAACCCTACACATCATTCCGAAGTTAAGCGAAATTGTGAACTATAAAAAAACGAAACGAAATAGGATATATGTTGGAATTGAAACATAACAAATGGCTAATATAAACCAAACTAAAGTTACGGACCAGGTCGACACCATTTCTAATTGAGCATAACTGTATTCTGACTATTTTTGCTGAAACATTAGACATAATTCTTTCTTTATATTCATAAAAAAAAACCAAGAGCTTAAAATTTATGAAGACATTACTCTCAATGTCAATGCTCCTGCTTTATTGGCCATAAACAGTTATTTTTTTTTCTCTATGATCCAGTCTCGTGCATTATCATTGAAAATTGAGTTATCTTCTCAATCATATGATTTGAAGTTGGCAAACTCGACTCGATTTTTGACATAGGAAATTTCCAGATTGAGTGCGCGCGCTCCTTTGAATTTTACAATATTAAATTTCCAAATCATGGTGTCTTTTGTTGTAGGTCCACTTCCTTAAACATACATTATGCAAGAGCTAATTCCGCCTACTGCAGATCTTTCTTTAGGCCTGAAATGTTTTCTAAATTATTAATTATATATTAATTAACTGATCCAGGCCATAATCAATTCTTGATATTAAATAGATTAGAGCAGTTCAGCCATATTTTGATTTAAGCTAAAAATGGAGGAGCCAGACTTAGCTCCGAACATCCAGTGCGGTAGTTGAAATTATTGCACAAATTATTCATTTTACATTATCTATGTTCGAACTATCATAGCAAGAATGGCTAGCTCTTTATCTAAATCTTACATAATGTATCTTTAAGTGGTGTCACTAATGTTTTTAGTATACAGTATATAATTATCTGTACTTGAAAACGAAAGTAGAATCACTGTAGAAAGGTAGTTCCGATTACAATACAGTAATTGTTGATCCATAAAACTCCTGTGTTTATCGTAATGTGTTCAATTACTAAATGCCATTCAAACAGTATAAATTACGGGATAGTCGATTCACAGTCCGGAACGTCCCGAATTGACATAATGGGCGTCCTCGCCAAAGGAAATCATGCTAGGCATCGCTACAATCTAATTAAAATATAGATCTATATTTCGTTTCGTTTTTTATACTTTCGATGGCCTACACTACATGTAGTAAAGACAAGTAAAATAGAAATTTTGAACTATAAAACATGAAACGAAATTGGATCTGTGTTTTAATCAGATTGGGCATCGCTAATAAAAACTCGGTTCCACGCGACCTTATTCATGGTAAGGGAACCGTGTTTCGACGTATCGGGATTAAATTCTATATTAACGATAATAACTAACGTTTGTCAACAACACATCAGTTCGTATAGCACGTACAGGAAAACAATGCTGTAAGGTAAACAATGGGGTCACGTGGGACCGTCTCCTCCATGGTGTTACCTAACAATTATGTCCCGTTGTCTCTAGCGAGGACGCCCATTGAAATCGCGTGACTCGGAATTCACGGTTCTATCAGTCCGGACAACGGTGCTGGTGTGAGTAGAATCGTGACGCTATTAAACACAACGAATATTATGTTTCAGCTTTTTTCGGGATTCAATTCCGGCATGTTCAATCGAGTATATGCTAGTAACAAAGGGGAGATAACTTATGCACCATGGGTATATCCCTAATTCATGACAATTAATAATTATAAATTAGAGTGATTTTTTTTTTATAAAACAAAAGAAACCAGAATATAATAAAAGTAAGAACCTGGTTTAAATTTTCAAATAAAAAATAATTTTGGATTTTAAATAGCCGATTTTGGTCGTGTCCGCAGATAGTCTTGAATTTTTGCATTTGTTTCGATACGATTTCTGTGGTCCCTGAGTTTTGAATAATTATCAAACAAGTCTGGTGATTGGTCCAACGGGTACTGCATGACGTCATACAATGCTAAATCTGCAAGAGACAACTGAAATATAAAAAACATTAAAGGAATAGATCACCAAGTCTTATGAACGTTATACCGGGAAGATTTCTTAAAGATACATTAGTTAAGAGCTAAATATATTAATAATAATAATAATAATAATAATAATAATGATATTTGTATCGCGGAACTATTCAATCCACTAGGGAATGCACTAGGCACTAGGCAATATGCCTATTGTAAGTCTTTCCATAGGCTTTAAATGTTATAGAAATTATTAATTAGACCTTTATTTACTTAACAAGCCCAATATCAACACTGTAGACCCTCGGATGGCTTGGATACAGTTTGGATTTAAACAGTCGTCCATTTAATAATCAAATCATTAAATGGCAGACCAAATTAACATTTGCCGTTAATCACTGACGTCTCCGCCTGAGACTTTCGATCAAAGTATTGATAATCGAGGGTACCGTAGGCATTAAGAATGTTACTTGATAATCGAGAATATGTGGGCGGAGTTAATCAAACGATTGACAATTCTCGGATACGGTGCGGAGACTGTAGATGCCTATTTCTAGTCCAAACTTCCAAAATGATAACTTTCGTTCAGAATAAAGTAATTTGACTGAAATTTTCAATTTTTTCTTTTTTTATCATCTATTTTTGAACTGTTATATCAAGAATGGCCAACTCTTTATCAAAATCTTAATTTATGTATCTTTGTCAGTGATGCAGGACGGAGGGCCTTGCAAGGAAAGCTGTCTAGTCGTTCGGATGGGACGATAAACCGAAGTCCCGAGTACACACTGGCGTACCCGTAAAATATCTCTTGACAGATGGTATTCGATATAAGAGTAGGCCGTAGAGTGCCGCTGTCCTGGCAAAATTTCCCTCATAGCACACTGTATGGCGTATGCTCGTCTCCATTAGCCCAGTTCGGAGCAGAACAGTAGGACGTTAAAACCCATTTCATTTAATATATAACTTTATAAAACTACGTTGGATTGATGAATCTTAATAACGTTATACAGGACAGATTTCTTGATATAACTTTTTTAAAACTGTGTGGGATTGACGATTTCATGTAAAAGAACGTCTGGCACGTTGTGGTCGGGGCGACATCTCCCTGGCGCATGCTCACATCTTCATTAGCCATGTTGGGACGGTATCACCCTGGCACATGCTCATCTTCATTACCCAGGTTGGGACTGTATCTCCCTGGCGCATGCTTATCTTCATTATGCAAGTTGGTGCAGAAAGGTAGAACATTGAAGCAGGGCCGTATGTAGGATTTTAAAAGTGGGGGTGCAGCCCCAAAATAATGCCCAAGTTACCCATTGAAATGTGGGCGCTCTTAAAAAAATACCAACTGATCAGTGCCTTAAGAGCATCCATCACTGTGTGATCATAATCAAGTGTATTATTTTATGATTGAAAGGTTATCAATTTTATTTATTTATTTATTTTTTTTTGGGGGGGGGGGCATTTCTCGGGGCGCCATATTTTTCTGGGGGTGCCATGTACCCCCTGCACCCCCGCTAGATACGGCCCTGCATTAAAGCCGAGCTCAGAACCCGACAACCCGTCGTGCTTGTTTTGGCACACACGGGTCCATAAGGTTTGTTAGCTCACAGACCAGCCGCAAGAAACCGGGAGAAAAATTTGCATATGAAGGACCAACAATCTCTACGGCCAGTCTGCGATCATTTACGGTGCCGAACATACGCAAGTGACATGTGAGTCTCATGCACGGAGTACGGCGGGTTGTGAGGCAGTCCTCAACTCCAAGACACCAGTACAGGATTCAGCCGCGTGTGTCTAGACGCTCAGAATAGCCAAGACTCACATCATCTTCATGATGGGTTCTGACCGAACGCCCTCTGTCTAACAATACATTGTAAGGGTAGATAACTGTACCACTAACCTTATTACCTATTAAATAACCCGAAGAATTATCAGATAATAATTTAGAGAATATTCCTAAATATTTGGGTTTATCATCCTTTTCAAATTTATCCATTAATTGTTTCTGTAAAGATAAAGATTAACGTGAATGAAAATAGATAGAATTAAATATAGATAATCCAAATCCAAATTATAATCATCTCTCCAACTAAATATTGGTCATGGGAAGCGGTGGTCTGTGAAAACTCGCACCCCGATATTAGAAAAAACTAATCTTGACCACCATGTTAATTCAAAGACCTTAAGCCATGGGCAGACAACTCTGTTACAGGATTCAGACCACAATGAAAAGAAAATTCTAACAGCGTGTGTACGAATGGCCAGGGTACGAACCCACATAGGCGTAAGGGGCAATCTCTGTTGGGGGAAAGGGGGCTGAGGCTACAACCATCTCTCCAACTAAATATTGGTCATGAGAAGCTGTGGTTTGTGAAAACTCCCACCCCGATATTACCCCCCCCCCCCAATTAATCTTGATTGCCATGTTAATTCCAAGACCTTGACCTTACGTCATACACAGACAACTCTGTTATAAAACATTATAGGATTCAGACCGCAATAAAAATACATTCTAACGGTATGAGCACGAATGGCCAAGGTACGAACCCAAATAGGCGTAGGGGGGCAATCTCCATTGGGGGGGGGGGGGGCAACATTTCCCTCATAGCGCACAGTATGACGTATGTCCGTCTTCATTAGCCCGGTCGGAGCAGAATAGTAGGACGTTAATCCCCATTTCATTTCATTTGTTGTTAAAAGATACCTTTTTGGTTGCATCTTTTTCCCTGTAATAAGTAACAAATCCCTTTCTGAAATCTTCCACCAATTCTACACTCTCATCTATTCTCAACCGTTCAAATGTTGTACTTCCAAACAAATCTAAATTAAATAAAATAGTATAATGATAGGATAAACATTATATTAAGGATTGATCCAGATCTAGATCTCTCTCTCTCTCTCTCTCTCTCTCTCTCTCTCTCTCTCTCGACACAAACTAGGTCATTTCGGGACCTGGAGAAAACCCACTAGGTTGGACAGGCGACCCTACTCCTTGTCATGTACAACCTAGAATTTTAGGCATAGCCTCGATCATCATTACTAAATACAATTATCCAATTTTTGATTTGAGCAGTAGATCGGATTCCAATCCACGCCTTAACCAAGATACTCGTCCAGTATGCCTATTGGTAAATCCAATCCCGCCGAGGGCACCTAAACCAATGACAATTAATGTGGCACTAGTGTATTTAAATATACCACCAATCCAACAGACTTTAATATGAGACCAATGTTCACCATTAACAAACCACTGACGATATCAAGACAAAGACAGAAATGGGGTTTAACGTCCACTCGACACAAACTAGGTCAATTAAGGACTGGCATATCTTTCAACTTTTAATTCATTAATTGTCTTTTACGTAGGGATCTTTAGCTTTGGACGGAAACCTGAGGCCCCAACGAAACCACACAAGGTTGGACAGACGATCCTACTCCTTGTCACGAACAAGCTTGGGCACAAAACCACACCAGACATTATGATCCCAAGCATGATGATATCAAACTGGGGGCCGTATCTTAAACATATCTTACCAAATTCACCAGCTAAATAACGTGCTATCGCCAGACTCTGTGTGACCTTGATTCCATCTATTTCCATATATGGTAGTTCTCCATAAGGCGTAGCTGAAAATAACAATAGGTATATTACCAGATTTTACAGCCGTGAAATAGAATTTGAAAACATTCTCCATTTTGAATGCGCACGGCCAAGAAAGCCGAATATTCGCCTTTTTAAATTTCCAACGGCAACACAGAATGGACGAACATCAGCATTATTTGACAACGACGGCAACAGTCTCGATCATTCCATGCAATCTCTGTGGCTACACCGAACGTAATAGACAATCCGAGAGATAGAGAGAAAGAGAGAGAGAGAAAGAGATAGAGAGAGAGAGAGAGAGGATCCTAGCTCCACTCATCACAAACTGGGTCATTTATAATTTTAGGGGGTCTTTAAATACCTTACTCCTTGTCACGCACAAGTGTGGAATCAAAACACTCCACTAGCTTCAATAACAGACCATCTACTAACGTTTGTGACTTTGTGTCTTTATTTGGTTTGGCGGCTAAACTAGGTCTGTCCCGAGGCTGAATTTGGTGTACAGGGGTGACACGGACCCGGGAACACGGGCCAGGTGGCGTTGGACTACTGCTTCCAGTTTCGGAGTTATACTACTTTCAGGCGTGACGGACGGACAGCTGCTTAGCATTAGTAGTGGCGGTGGTGCAATGGATAAGACGTTGGCTCGCTTATCTAGAGGTCCTGTGTTCGATCTCTGCGTTGGCCGAGAAAGGGTCATCTGGATTTTCCGACGTGGTCCCCCATGTCAGTGGTATAGTCGTTCGGATAGGAGGAAAAACTGAGGTCCCATGCACGTAAAAGATCCCATAGCAGTTGGAATTTGATATAAGAGTAGGCCGTTGCGCCGCCGTCCGGGCAAAATTAGCCTCGTAACACACTGTATTGGCGTATGCCCGTCCTCATTAGCCAAGTTGGAAAAGAACAATAACCAATGCCTATCTACAACTAGTTTGAACATACACGCGGGTTTATTGGGCACCATAAATTTTTGATGGACAGTGAACACGAAGGCATGCACCAGACCGATATTTGAACCAAGCTAGAATATTCTAGTGGGGTTATTGTGTCCCATAAAGGTGTTACAGGCAGATTGACAGGCAGACAGACGAACAAATCTATTTTAATATTCCCCTGTTTACTCCATTAGGCGGGGGCCAATTCATCTTCAGTAGAAAGCTTGATCTCGCTTTAACTACGTACATCTTATCAAGGCCTTCACGTAATACCCTGCATATTTGGGTACCTACACAGCTTGTGAGCCTATCAGATAATCTAGATGCAATGTTCACGGTTCGTTCAATGTCAAGGTTTCCGTGGAGGTCACTATGTCACAACCTCTGATTAGACGCCACTGTTCACGTGTCTGTAGATAACGTTGCGATAAGTTCGGGAATTGTGAAGTAATCTAGCAACGCCCAGATTTTGTAAAACTCGCAGTCGTTGCTTCAGGAACATGGGGCGAATTGGTATTAACAAGAAAAAATAATTGGTAAACGTATTTACAAGAAAACAAAATTGTTAACGTGACTATAGATGTACTCACTAGATTTAACTTGTGACCATTTATCAATAGGAATTCGGACGTCATCAAACTCTACTCCGGCAGCAACAAAACACAGCCTTGCTAGTTCAACCCTTCCCCTTAAGTTAAAATAATAAAGTTTATATTTCGGCATAGTTGGTTCCTGTAGTCTCTCTCTATCTTAATGCCGCTTTACCGTTGTCGGAGCACTCGATGATTTTCTGACTTAGTTTCCAATTTCTGAAATAAATGAATCATTGAGCTTTTGTGATATTCTAGGAGAAAGAGAGAGAGAGAGAGGGAGAGAGGGAGCGAGAGAGAGAGATGTCCTATCACACAAACTAGGTCATTTCGGGACTAACATACTGTAACATTTTACTTCAGCATTTCGCTAGCGTGCAGGGATCTGTAGGAGAGAAGCCCGAGGACCCGCAGAAAAACCACGAGGTTGGACAGGCGACCCTACTCCTTGTCACGTACAACCGGGGAATTAAAACCGCGCCATAGACAAACCTTATTATACAACGCGCACGCGCTGACCATTCATCCATCCGCCGCCCATATATCTGTTATCACTCGTCACTTCAGTGAGTTATATAGAGGGATAACTCATGTTTTCCTTTTGCGTTTGTCACTTCCGATTGTTGAAACCTGCGTTACGCATCTATCATGGCAATGACCTCTCTGTTAAAATTATATTTGGAACCTCTTTAACCAGTTCTATCACATATGTGATAATGACTGACACCAACATTATCCTTTAAATTTACCAGTGAATAAGATACTATATAAACTTGTGATATAAATAGTTGGGAGATTTGTTTGTTTATGTTAATATAAATAAAAACTGTATTATATATCTATAGAATATCTATGTCATGTTTATATAATATGTAAACATTGATAGGTGCAAACCAGTTACAAGGTGATCCAGTTCAAAAAGGCTATCCAGTACACATGAAATGCACCGAAAATAATGGAACGTCAGCTCCAACCAGATTAATATTGTGCAAAATGTGCTTTGAATTGATCAGTTTTCGACACAATTATAATGCATTAAATAAATTGAATGAATGAAATGGAGTTTATATGGCACGACAGCTTCTCCCGGGCTATAATGCGCCAAAACATAGATTTTAAATTGTTTGAGCGGCATTTAGTAACTGGGTGAGAGAGCGAGAGTGAGAAATGGGGTTTAACATCCACTCAACACAAACTAGGTCATTTCGGGACTAACATATGGTTTTAATTTTATTTCAATAATTCGCTTGCGCGTAGGGATCTTTAGCAATGGGAGGAAACCAGAGAACCCGGAAAAAACCCACGAGATTGGACAGGTGACCGTACTCCTTGTCACATACAACCAGGAAATCGAAACCACGCCAGTTGACTAAATGACAGACCTTATGATACAACGCGCATGTGCTAACCATTTGGCCATCCACCCCCCCAGTAACTGGATGAGAATAACACATGAGCCTCATGGCTTCTCCCCATTTTGAGGGTTTCTAAATGATTGTCTCTCACTGTACATCAATGTTGTTTTTCTGAAATTAAATAAAATGGGGTTTAACGTCCTACTGTTCTTCTCCTAAACTGGAATAATGAAGATGGGCATACACTATACAGTGTGTTATGAGGGAAATTTTGTCCGGGCAGCGGACTCTTATATCACATTCCAACTGCCAAGGGATCTTTTACATGCACGCCAATTTGTACACAGGACCTCGGTTTTTCGTCCCATAATGTTGTTTTTTTTTGTTCCATATCTTCACTGTACTATAGGTGTCATTCTTTACTTGATGGAATCACCGTGGTAGAACCCTGCGTGGTCGATCCCTGCGTTAGCCGAGAAAGTTTATCAGGATTTTCTGGTGTGGTTTCTTCTCATGGGTGGTGAAGGATGGAAGAGCTGGTAAAGACAGCTGTCTAGTCTTTTCGATGCGACAAAAAAACAAGGTGCCATGTATACATTGGATTGCTCGTAAAAGATCCCTTGGCAGTTAAAATTAGGCCACAGTGTCACTGCCCGGTAAAAATTTCCCTCAATGTGGGCGTATAAAAAAGATTACACGGTGAACCAGTAACTAGTGTATTCGGCACTGAAAATAATGGCATGTCAGCTCCAACCGGGCTAACAAGAACAATTTTTATGGAGTTTTTGCGCTATAGAAATGGATATGGACGTTTTTATTATCATATTGCGGCAAACATAGACCAAAACTGGGCAAAGGTGTAAAAAGTTGTATTCGGTACAAAAGGAGTACATTTAATATAAACGACAATGAAATTAAAAGTGAAGTTACATCATAAATCTACTCTAGGCTATTATAAAATGGATTTCTTATAAAAATAGTTCTGGCGTGATGACAGGTAACTTTTTTTTATATGAGGAACAAAAAACAATATTTACATCGTTAGAAATAGGAATGAGTTCAGGAGTTCCGGCGGTGGGGGGGGGGAGGAGGGTCTTTGCTGGCGCTGAGAAATGAAATGAAATTGGGTTTAACGTCCTACTGTTCTGCTCCGACACGGCTAATGATAACGGGCATATGCCATACAGTGTGTTATGAGGACAATTTTGCGCAGACAGCGACAGTACAGCCTACTCTTATATATCGAATTCCAACTGCCAAGGGATCTTTTACGTGTACATCAATGTGTACACGGGACCCCGGTTTTTCATTCCATATGAACGATGAGACATTGACTTTGCCAGGCATTCCACACTGCACCCCTGACAAGGGGGAACCATACAGGCAAATCCAAATGAACTTCCTCGGTCAACACAGGGAATGAAGCCGAGACCTCAGGGTTAGCGAGCCAGTGTCTTACTGAGTCGCCATGGCTCTCAATTTCCACTTTAATTTCCATTTCTGATTCCTGGGGTGTTGGATGGCCGAATGGTTGGAGCGTTCGCTGCCCGCTGTATCATAAGGCCCGTCATTAAGTCAACTGGCGTGGTTTCGAATCCCCGGTTGTACGTGACAAGGAATAGGGTCGCCTGTCCAACCTCATGGGTTATCTCCCACTGCTAAAGACCCCTATGCACAAGTGAATTATTGAAATAAAATTAAACCATACGTTAGTACCGAAATGACCTAGTTTGTGTCGAGTGGACGTTAAAACCCATTTGTCTATCTCTCACTATTTCTGATTCCATCGCCAGCATATAGTCAAGGAGCCGCCATGGCTCAGTGAGTAAGGTGCTGGCTCACTAACCAGGAGGTTCCAGGTTTGGTCCCAGTGTTGGTCAACAAAGTTCCTTGGGATTTTCCAGAGTGGTTCCCCGTAGCAGTGGCATAGGACAGAGGGTCTGGCTAGAACAGTGCCAAGCAGCTTGGATGGGATGAAAAATTGGGATCTTATGAACATATTGTTGTGTGCGTTGATCGGCTAAAATTTCCTCCAGGCACCTGGTATGTCACACGCCCATCTTTATTAGCCAATTCCGTGCAGAAAGGTAGTCAGATAACCACCAGTTTCCGACAGGTTAGGGAGCCAAGGTGGCTAAGTGAGTAAGACGCTGGCTCGCTAGCCCGGAGGTTGCGGGTTCAATCCCGGTGTTGGCAGAGAATGTTTATCGGGGTTTTCCATTGTGGATTCCCCTTGACAGATGTGCGGGATGGAGGGCCTGACCAGGACTACTGTCTTTGGCAGTCGGAATTCGATATAAGAATAGGCCATAGTACCGCTGTTTGGGCAAAATTTCGCACATAGCACAAGTTAAATGTTACATTAACAGAGACAACTGTTTATCATCTTCGAGAGAGAGAGAGAGAGAGAGAGAGAGAGAGAGAGAGAGAGGAGATATAGAGAGAGGGAGTGAGGGAGAAATGGAGTTAAGGTCAAATCGATACAAACTACATGTAGGTCATTTTGGGACTAACATATGCTTCAATTTTATTTCAATAAGACGCTTTCCATTTAGGAGTCTTTCGCTGTAGGAGGAAAACAAAAGACCTGAAGACAGGCGACCCTACTCCTTGTCACGTACAAGCCGGGAATCGAAACCACGTCACTTGACACAATGACAGACCTTATGATCAAACGCACACGTTTTAACCATTCGACTACCCAACCCCCTTTTATCATCTTCGAAACATGACGTGTGATACTGGTATGTGACGGTGCTATATAAATGACATATCGTTAATTAATAGGGCCACGATGGATCAATGAGTAGGATCAATTACGATTTTGGCCGAGTATGGTCTAAAATCTTAACTATTGAGCTATTGAAGATGGACATACACCACGCAGCGTTGTTGTTTACTCTTTAGGGGGGTTGGATGGCCGAATGGTTAGCACGCGCGCGCTGTATCATACGGTCTGTCATTGAGTCAACTGGCGGGGTTTCGAATCCCCGGATGTACGTGACAAGGAGTAGGGTCGCCTGTCCAACCTCGTGGGTTTTCTCCGGGTCCTCCGGTTTCCTCCCACAGCTAAAGACCCCTACGCGCAAGCGAATTATTGAAATAAAATTGAACCATGTGTTAGTCCCGAAATGACCTAGTTTGTGTCGAGTGGACGTTAAACCCCATTTCCTTTTCCTTAAGCTTACTCTTTATCTACTTGCATCTGTTGAGGGTGTCTTTAACGTACACGCCAACGACTACACCTGAGAAAAATCCCTAAGCCAACACCGGGATCGAAACCCAGGTCTTGCTCCTTACTCATCGAGCCCCACAGCCCAAGTACACATATACTGTCTAGTCATTCAGATGAGACGAAAAAACCTAGGTCCCGTGTACACATTGGTGTGCACGTAAAAGATCCCTTGACAGTTGGAATTCGATATAAGAGTAGGCTGTAGTGCCACTGTCCGGGCAAAATTTATCTCATAGCACACTGCATGGCATAAGCCCAGCTTCATTAGCCCATTTCGGAGCAAACAGTAGGACGTTAAACCCCTTTTCATTTCATTTATACAGTATTTAAATCGCTATTTCTACAACGTGAAAGGCACAGGTCCGAATTAAGTTATTGTGTTATGAACCTTTGGCTTCCCGTGGATATATACTCTTCAAAAAAAAGTAGGGGATATTCAGAAACAATACAAAACTGCAGAAATGCACTGCTGTTTTTATTAGAGGTAACCAGTGTATGTTAATAACAGGCCAATTGTCTACACATGAACATAAACAGTTCATATGGGCGGCTTATCTGATGGCCCCATTTCACTCGCAAAGAGATACACTGTCAAAAGTGAAAATTTTGATTTTTGTCTTAATAATGAGTAATTGCTCCACCAATCCTCAGACATTCAGCAATTTGTCGTGGCATGCTCCTAATCAACCGTCCAATCACGATTTGGGGCAATCTGACCCACTCCTCTTCCAGTGCCACGGCCAATTCTTGCAGTGTTGTTGGTTGACATTTACGTCGACGAAACGTCTTCCGATCAAATCAAAGGTAACACACTAAAGCAAACATACGCTAAACAGTAAATCTTATGCAAGAACCGATGGGAAAGAAAACATGGATAGATAAAGCAGCACGCGGCAGTTTTCATCAACCCTTCCTTGAAGTGTCAAATTTGACAATGAACCCCTCCCACATGTATGGCGCTGTTGCGTGTCACATGAGCAGCTCAGTGGCTCTGTTGGGGCGATAAGTTCTTTATCTGTGAACATACTCTCAAAGCATGTCAATTGTCCATGACTATTTATCATATCACATCCTGCATAGGTATTTTCATTTCAATATCCCCTACTTTTTTTGACGAATATATATCAGCACATTACTAGCTTAAACTTTGACAAATACAAAGGTAAAAAATCATTTTGGCCAACATCGGATCGGGACCGCTTGTTTAGTGAGTCAGCGCCTTACTCACTGCCCCACATATATAATATAGATGGAATATATGTTTGTTTTTTATATCAGCCTAAACACTATAGGTTCTTTAACATGCACGCCAACGAATACAAAGGTGAAAAATCATCCAAATGAGTCAGGGCATCTGATATAAAAATAAGTTTGTCTTTACATCAGCTTAAACCTTAAGGGTTCTTTAACGTGCACACCAACAAAGGTAAACACATGGTGCATCACTCACAGATAAATGAAATGAAATGGGGTTTAACGTCCTACTGCTCTGCATGTTCTGATCTGGGCTAATGAAGACGGGCATACGCCATACCATGTGCTATGAGGGAAATTTTGCCCGGGCAGCGGCACTACGGCCTACTCTTATATCAAATTCCAACTGTCAAGGGATCTTTAAGTGCACACCGATGTGAACACGGGACCTAGGTTTTCCGTCCCATCCGAACAACTAGACAGCTGTCCTTGTCAAGCCCTCCGTCCTGCATTACTAACAAAGGGGAACCACTCCAGAAAATCTGGGTGAATTTTCTCGGCCAATGCAAGGATCGAAGACCCGGCAGATATAACATACATGTTAATATCAGCATATTAATATAAACCTTGAAATTTAGCTCCAATCGCTCACTAGTTGTTAGTTCAAAATACATGTTAAAGTGGCCTCACCTGTTACAGGCTATAGGACATGCTACGTGCCATCAGTTAACTTATAGCTGTATTCTTTTATCGTGTAACCATTCCAGACAGCTCTCTGCCTCGCCTACTGCCAGCTATAAGATGATCACCGTATTTATACACATTTGTTGTGTGTGGAGAGAAGTGTTGAATTTATATCATAGCCAACAAAACCCCCCGGTTCAACGATTCACTAATACAAAACACATAGCTCCTTGTACAAGTATCAAGTATCGTTCACACTTCAGTAACTGCACACCACATAGAAGACGAGCGAAACTATATCTAGAAGGTTTTTATAAACACAATGAGTTGAAGCCCATCGCTCTACTTATCATGAACAACCCTAACACACACACGCCTGACCGAATTCCACCCTTTAAGTATAGAGGCAGAGAGGCGTGAAAACTGTAAACCACCTGAACAAATGGACGTAAGACAATCTTTATATTTGGAGGGGTTAATAGGTTAAAGCGTGCGCGTTACACCACAAGGTATGTCATTGAGTCAAGCGATGTGGTTTCCGTTCCCCCAAATGAAAATGAAATGAAATGGGGTTTAACGTCCTACTGTTCTGCTCCTAACCTAGGCTAATGATGACGGGCATATATACAGTGTGCTATGAGGGAAATTTTGCCCGGGCAGCGGCGCTACGGCCTACTCTTACATCAAATTCCAACTGCCAAGGGATTGCACGCCAATGTGTACACGGGACCTCGGTTTTTCGTCCCATCCGAACGACTAGACAGCTGTCCTTGTCAGGCCCTCCATCCTGCATCACTGACAAGGGGAAACCACGCCGGAAAATCTGGATGTCAAACTTTCTCGGCCAATGCAGGGATCGAACACCCGACCTCGAGGCTAGCGAGCCAGAGTCTTACCCACTTAGCCACGTGATCCCCCGTTTCCATTCTCCGCTTGAAGGCCTACATTAGGGTCGCGAGTCAATTAACTTCATGGGTTTTGTCAGTGTCCTCCGGTTTCCTCCCACATCTTAAGACCCCAAAACGCAAGCGAATTATTGAAATAAAATGGAACCATATTGTACTCCCGAAATTACCTACTTTGTACGTGTCGAGTGGACGTAAAACGCCATTCTCTATATATTTCGAGAACTTCGATCAATCTAGCCAGTGCCGATCTATTCTTAAAAGAGAGAGAGAGAAATGGGGTTTAACGTCCACTCGACACAAACCAGGTCATTTCGGGACTAACACATGGTTCAATTTGATTTCAATAATTCGCTTGTGCGTAGGGGTCTTTAGCAGTGGCAGGCGACCCTACTTCTTGTCACGTTTATTTTTATTTCAATAATTCGCTTGCGCGTAGGGGTCTTTAGCAGTGGGAGGAAACCGGAGGACCCGGAGAAAACCCACGAGGTTGGACAGGCGACCCTACTCCTTGTCACGTACTTCCCACTGCCAAAGATCCCTACGCGCAAGCGAATGATTCAAATAAAATTGAACCATGTGTTGGTCCCGAAATGACCTAGTTTGTGTCGAGTGGACGTTAACCCCCCTCTCCCTCTCTCTCTCTCTCTCTCACTCTCTCTCTCTCTCTCTTTCTTAAGGAAAGGGCTGTATATTTAACTCATTTTTATAACAGAACTCCCTCAACCTAGATTCATTAAATATTCAAGGCACAAACGATATCAAATTATGTAAATTTATATGGGCTGTATTAAATCGCTTTAGTAAATAAGTGTTTTATTCAGGATAAATTATATATATATATAGCTGTAGGTAATATTTAAATAGATACATTGTCATGATCCACTGTATTTATATTAGGGGGTCACGGTGGTTAAGTGGGTAAGACGCTGGCTCGCTAGCCTGGAGGTCGGGTGTTCATCTCTGCATTGGCGGAGAAAGTTTATTGGGATTTTCCGGTGTGGTTTCCCCTTGTCAGTGGTACAGGACGAAGGGCCTGACAAGTACAGCTGTCTAGTCGTTCGGGTGTAACGAGAAAACGAGGTCCCGTGTATACATGGGCGTGCACGTAAAAGATCCCTTGGTAGTTGAAATTCGATATAAGAGTAGGCCATAGTTCCGCTGCCCGGGAAAAATTTCCCTCATAGCACACTGTAGGACGTAGGTCAGTTGGGCAGTAGGACGTTAAACCCCATTCCATATTCATAGCACACTGTAGGACAGTTGGGCAGTTGGACGTTAAACCCCATTTCATTTCATTTCATATTTATGTATCTTCTGATGAAGATTTCGAATAAAGATTATTATTATTAAATGACACCAGTAGACAGACCTTATGGTCTAAACCGCACGGGTTCAACCCCGTTAATCCGACACCACAGATTGCCGGAACTATATCATGTCGCGCGTGGTAGTATTGGGGTTCGGGATCAATATCATTATATAAGTCTCGATTTGCACCTGATGACCTTGACATATCTTTGGCTATGATTCAAGGGGAGGTAAACTTTGTTTGAATTTATTTTAAATACCTTTTTTAGATTTACTGAACCATGCAGTGATGTAATCAACTATATTCAACTATTTGTACACATAAAAAAATAGTGTGAATGACAAACCATAAAGTACTCTGTCATGGTTTGGAGTTATTTGGTGCAAATTGATTACCACGGCTTTGAAATAAATATGATACATCAAGTATAAGTAAAGTTTCAAAAATAAGCATTTGGATCAAAGAAAAACAAAAACAAAAAAAACCAAACAATTGGATTAAAGAAAAACAAAAACAAAAAAACAAGATTATATGCTATTCTCAAAATGAAAGTTGTTGACAAGACATAACACACCATATAGAATTTGAGACCATACCCAATCTGTACCCCAAAACCCCACCCCACCCAAAAAATAACCGGTGTCTTTTGTGTGAAAGGCAGCCAAAGTATTCTTGACTTGGTACACCATTTCTCAAATTCACAAATTATAACATACATAATAATACAATAATCATGTTAAAATGGTCAATTTCTTCATAAAATACTGCACACATTACAAAATAAATACTACCAATAATTTCTCTTTGTGCCCTGTAGTGCTTATTGAGAGAGAAAGAGAGAGAGAGAGAAATGGGTTTAACGTCCACTCGACACGTGCGCGCTGTATCATAAAGTCTGTCATTGAGTCAACTGGCGTGGTTTCGAATCCCCGGTTGTACGTGACAAGGAATAGGGTCGCCTGTGGGTTTTCTCCGGGTCCTCCGGTTTCCTCCCATTGCTAAAGATCCCTACGCGCAAGCGAATTATGTAAATAAAATTAAAACCATATGTTAGTCCCGAAATGACCTAGTTTGTGTCGAGTGGACGTTAAACCCCCCTCTCTCTCTCTCTTCTTGTCGTTCGGACATCGTTATCGTTAAAAAATATAGTGATTGCTATAGTCAGCAAAAATGAAATCAAGTTTAACGTCCTACTGTTTTGCTCCGAACTGGGCTAATGAAGAAGGGCATAAGCCATACAGTTTGCTGTGAGGTAAATTTTGCCCGGACAGCGGCGCTACGGCTTACTCTTATATCGAATTCCAACTGTCACGGGATCTTTTACATTCACGCCAATGTGTACAAGGGAGCTCGGTTTTCCGTCTCACCCGAACGACTAGACAGCTGTACTTGTCAGGCCCTCCATCCTGCAACACTGACAAGGAGAAACCACTCCGGAAAAATCCCGATGTGTACACGGGACCTCGATTTTTTGTCCCATCCGAAGGACTACACACAGCTGTCCTTGTCATGACACCCGTTCTGCACCACTGACAAGGGAAAACCACGCAAGAAATATAGTCAGCAAATAGAACAGTTACTTTGGTTGTCTGAGGGAGATACCTATGCACCGATTGACCCCTTATTGCACTCTATGGAAGTGCTCTATCACGATTAGCACGGAAGTTTTCGAGATAATAAAAGAGTTTGGTGTTTGTTTAGTTAAAGATGGTGAGTATAACCGCAGCAACGCTCAGTGGGAAATGAATCTGGGTTTAATGCCCTACTTTTCTGCTCCGACTGGGATAATGAAGACGGGCATACGCCATGCAGTGTGTTATGAGGGAAATTGTGCCTGGGGACATCAGCACGACGGTCTACTCCTATATCGAATACCAACTGCCAAGGTATCTTTTACGTGCATGCCAATGTATGCACGGAGCCTCGGTTTATTGTATCGTCCGAACGATTATACGTTGTCCCTTGCCAGGCCTTCCGCCCTACACCACGGATCGAACACGGGACCCCGAGGTTAGCGAGCCAGCGTCTTACTCACTGACTCCCCAACTGCCAACATTTCCGTTGCGAACACTCAAACGAGTAACTCAATTTGTTCATCCCACCAGAACGGTAAGACCTTGTTCCTCGCCAGGCTGAATAATCCCGAGATCGAGATGAGGACCGCCTGGTTAGTGAGCCAGCATATTACCCACTGAGCCACTAACAGTTAGATGGAGGGAGAGAGAGATGGGGTTTAACGTGCACTCGACACAAACTAAGTTATTTCGACACTAACATATGGTTCAATTTTATTTCAATAATTCGCTTGCGCGTAGGGGGTCTTTAACAGTGGGAAGTAACCGGAGGACCCGGAGAAAACCCACGAGGTTGCACAGGAGACTCTTCTCCTTGTCACGTACAACCGGAGAATCGAAACCACACCAGTTGACTCAATGATAGACCTTATGATACAACGCGCACGCGCTAACCATTCGGCCACCCACCCCCCCTGCCTTATAGTCAGGTGAATATAATACAATTATTATGGTCGCGTTAATATAAATTATTCTATAAATCTATTTGAACAGATCATGTTAACTAACAAGTTTATAAAATAGCCCCAGGGGGATCATCTGATGTTTTTTTTTATATACAAATAGGCTAATGACAATATAAATATATACACGCGGGACAAAGTAGTATTATATAGCGGCTGAACTAATATCAATGGTGGGACGGTGTTATTCAGTGCAAAATCAACAATTAATCTAGTAAAAGATTTATAGATAGAACTGTACCGGAGTGGGGTCATATTGTAGAATTCTATAAAATTTAAATTCTCCAGCATTATTCATCATAGGTCATTTGGTCGATGTCATTTCGTTCAAACTAAAGAATGGCGAGTGTTGTAATAATTTCAACATTGCTAAAATACTTTCAATATTTATAATGCATAATCGGCTATTTGTCATATACTTTTGATTTAGAGGAAAAGAAGACGGATACGCCACTCTTCGGGGCTGCAGACACCTAACCAAGTATTGGGAATTATTAATCTAA